CTCCTGTGCGTGTGCCTTTGGGAGTGGGGGAAGGCACTGCTGGAAGTCGCAGGTGCATGGCCTCAGCCCAGCCTGCCTGCCAGGAACAGGAATGCAGAAGGGCGCCCACCCAGGGCCTGACGCTCTGACTACAGTGATTCTCCCTCTACCGGTCAGAAGGGAGGCTGCAGGGGATCCGGAGGTGCAGCTTCTTTTTACCTTTTTTATATCTATTTTTATAAGAAGACAATGGAAGACGGCTACAATGCCACCAGTAGCAATCATTTCTGAAAATAAAGTGCAGAAAGTGTATTTTTGTCCCAGGTAACCATTTTAGGACTCTCAGCCCTGCTACCAAGCGTTAAAATCCCAGCATATTCTTTGTATTCAAATGGCTAAGAGCGGAGGCAGCCGTGGAGGGCAGGTGGGACTGGAGAAGCCCTCCTGTCCGACCCAGGCGGTCATGTGTGCGCACTCACTGCCTCCAGAGCAGAGTCCGCCCGCCGCCGCTGTGTCCACGCAGACGAGCCTCCTCCGCAAGCTTCGCTGGTGGACACTGTTTCGAATGCTGCACTGTTCGCCTGGGGAGTGAGCCGCGGAGGGAAGCAAGCTCCAGGCCCTGACACCCGCGTGCCCTCCTGAGCCCCGGGTTCTGTCCGAGCAACACCTCCCGTGGCATCCTCCCCTCTGACTCTCACGGTCTCTTCTGGGAGCGCAGGCGCCCTGGGCACCTCACCGCTGGCGTCGCAGGCAGAGTGTGGCATCCTCACGGCACGGTGTGGCCTTTGCGGTTTTAGAAGCAACCAGGAGAACTGGGGCAGAGGGATGTTCGCGTCCCTGAAGACCTTGACTGAACCGTCAGTGTGGAGTGACGTGTACCGTTCCTTGTACAAGGAAGTTGGCTCTTAAAATGCTGCGAAACCTAAACTATAATGAGATACCACTTCTCACCCATGAGGATGGTTTTTGCCCAAGACAAAAAATAACAAGTGTTTTCAGAACAGAGAAACCAATGAGCTTGTGCATTTCTGGTCAGTGTAAAATGGTGCAGCATGGTGCAAAACAGTTCGGTGGTTCCTCAGAAAGTTAGCCATAAGCCAGGTGTGGTGGCCCATGCCTGTAATCTATCCCTCTAGGAGGCTCAGGCAGGAGGATGTTGAGCTCAGCCTGAGCAGCTCAGTGACTGAGCAACCCCCCCATATAAAAGAGGAGAGACCCAAGGCTTGAGGATGCAGCTTAGTACACAGGCCTTGGATTCAACCCCAAACACTGCAAAGGCAGAAGGGCTGGAAGTGCAGCACAGGGTTCTTGGGCAAGGATGGGGGTGCAAGTCCCAGCACCGTGAAAATAACAAACGTAAGCAGAGCCTTGCTGCGGTCCAGCCAGCCCCTTCCGAGTGTACACACAGAGGAGGGGAGGGGAGGAGCGTGAGCCACCGGCGTGCCGTGCTCACAGCACCCACGTGTCTGTGAAAAAGCAGAATGTGTGGGTGCATGTGCGTACATGTGTGTGCATACGCACGTGAGCGTGCCATGGAATACAGTAGCCTCCAGAAAGAGTGAAACGTCAACATGTGCGCCAACTGCGCAGGTGAAGGAAGCAAGCACAGGGCAGCGTCCGACTCAGAGAGGAGGATGACCGGGCGGTAGGGGTCAGTGCCTGCTGGGGACGGAGGTCGGCGGGGTGAGGAAGGGGCCCCAGGCATGGGCAGAGATGGCAGAGCACCTGATTGTTCTCCACAGCACCCAAGTGCACGCCCGCAGGTCTGCGGGGCTCATTCCTCGGGTACGGATCGCTGAGCTCGGGGTCCTACAGCAGACTTCGAGGTTCAGGACCAACGGGGGGCTCCTGGAGCTGAGCCAGAGACGCAGACCTCCCTAGCTGCCCAGTGCCCTCCCTGGCCCAGGCAGGGCGGGGCTTGCTGTTCTGTTGCAAGGCCCATCCTACCGTGGGGACCTGGCCCACAGATGGTCACACCCTCGGCGGTTTTGCTCCCTTCGGTACCTGGCCTCTCAGTGGTGCCCACAGAGCCCTCCGGGAAGACGCCCCGGGGCCTCAGGGTGATGGCGCACGTCTGGCACAGGTCACGCCCCCAAAGTGTGCTCCGCCCGGGCTGAGGCCCCCTTACAGTCACTGCCCTGAGTCCTTCCCCAGGGCCACCGGAGCCTCACTTGTGCAGCTGCTGGAGTGGACCCTGCTGTGACTCTGAAGCCGGGTCACGGGCGGGGCAGCCACTGTGCCGGGAGCAAGTGCACAGCACCGGACCACCGGACGTGCGCTGCTGGGCAGGGTGTGCACTTTAAGACATGGACCAGAAAGGGTTTGAAAAGATAATATTTGGACCTCTGCTTCTTCGTTTTTTAGTATTTACTTATTTTTTAAATAATGCTAAGTCAATACCAAATTTAACATTGACTTCCGTGGCTTTTAATACTTAGCATTTCCAGATTCCTCTGGAAAGACTGTCCACCCCGCCCAGAGCCACTGCCTCAGGACATTGGCCCCTGCTCCCTCTCCTCCCCCAGTGGACAAGGGGCTCATCGCTTGTGGGTATAAAGTTCCTGACACCCTGCCCCACACCTGGCAGCCATTCTGGGCAGCATTTACCACCCAGCGCTGGTTCCTGAGAGGCCAGCACCCTCCGCTAAGACCCCGCTGCTTCGCTCAGAGGCAGCTGCTGTACAGAGACCGCTGTCTGCTTATGAGCAGAGCCCACGGCAGCCGAGACACAGCGGATGGAGTAACCACTCCCCACGAATCAACAGCCTGTAGGGTCAGGGTATCGAGCAGAACATTGTCCGCAGGGCCTCATGGGTCCTCAGAACCCAGCTACAGTCCTGTGTGCCGGGCTGGGGAAGAGGGTGTTGTCCCCCAGCCAGGTGTCCCTCTGGCTCGCGGTGGGACCGTCTCCTTGAGGGCCCCACTCCAGCTGGGAGCAACAGCTAGTGCCCAACCCGCCCACAGTGGGGGCCTCGCTGCCCAGCCGGGCGGGGTTGCCGTGACCCTTGCTGGAAGGCCCACGCTCCTCAGAGTCGCCAAGAGACAGAGCCGAACCCCCCCTGACTGCTGGCGCCAGGCCCTCCTGATGGTCTCGTTCCCAACACAGTGGAAGGGGCCATCCAGAGACGCGGCCCTGGGCTGCCGGGTGACGACCAGGGTCCCGATGGGCCCAGAGTGGAGATCAGTCACCTCTGCACTCCTGAGGCGGGCTGTGTCTGTGTGGTCCATCCACGCGTCTGTTCATACACCCGAGGGCCACAGAGTGTCAAGATCCAGCCACGTGCTGAGTCCCCACAGGCAAAGCTGGCAGTCCCTGCAGGGTGGGCCACCGGTCCAGTAGTCCAGACGCTCCTGGAGTCCTGTGTGGGCTCTGTGGCTGGGTCTGGACCAAGAGGAGAGCGAGCACATCGTACCCTCAGCTCTCCACGTGCCCACCTGCCACCTTTGCACCATGTAGGCACAGAACAGTCAGTCTGCAGAACGACAGCCTGCGTGGGTCCCTAGACCGGGGTGGCAGAGTCTAGGGCTGTCTTTAGGAGATACGGGGTGAAAGTCAGGGGCAGCTGGGCTCGCTCCGGTGAGCTTGTTTACCCCGGTCGGGGCAGGACGGCCCTCCCCAGAGAATCCTTACGCCTGCCCTGTGAGAACAACAGGCCAGACAGCCCTTCTGCAGCCACGGCTCCTCGGGCCACACATTGGAGATGCCACGGCCCAACTCCTCCACTGTGCGAAGGAGGCCTTGACCCGGAGCGAACTCACTGCCCTCCAGCTGGCTGTGAATCCCATGGTTCAATCCCACGCGGAGAGGAAGACAAAAGTCCACCCAGCCAACTGTGCAGCAGTGAGGGAAAGCCCAGCAGTGCGGGGCTGTGCTTCCGCTGCTCAGGGAGACTTCAGTCCTCCTCCCGAAGTGACAGCAACGCCTTGGGGGTCCCAGTGTAACACTGGGGCGTGTTTGCTCGCAGCGGACGAGGCTGACACGTCGGTCTAACAGGGCCCTGGCGGCAGGGCCGGGCTGGGGTGAGCCCTGCTCCCTCAGGTCCACCTGTCCCGGCCAGCGGGGCTGGGAGCTTGCGTCCACGTCCTGGTCGGGCCTGCTGACCTGCGCAGCAGCATTTCGGGGCTCGCACCCGTGTGCTGCCTACCCTGCCTCTGAGGCCTGATGTTTCAGCTCTGAGACCGGCCGCGCACAGACACGTGCACAGGGGCGCGCATGGGGACAGGGTGACCCTCGCAGTGCAGTTCAGAGACCCCATCTCAGAGCAGTAGCTCTGTTTTTCTAAGATGAGCACATGCAGCATCCGTGGAAAGACCGGAAGGTCAGAGAACAGGGCTCAGCGCCTTGAGGCAGGGTCACACGTGATGTTAGCGTGTTCCAGTTGTCTCTCGCTGATGAACAGTCTCCTACCTCCTCCGTCCTGGGGCGCTTCGGGAAGCACAGTATGAAGGAAGTGTGAAGATGCAGTAGCTTTGCGAGGACCTGACAGCCACAGTACGCAGACCACAGGGGCCAGCCTGCTCTTGGCGTCGGCTCCGGGTCTCTCCAGGTGGAACCTGGCAGCCATGGACCCGGGGCCGGAGAAGGGCACCCTCGGTGCCTGGGGCAGGAAGTTCATCCCAGGATGGTGCGGCCTCTGCCCGGCTTCAGGGAGGTGCCTGTTTCCATGTGCTTTTGTCATTAAACCAAAATGCTGGGCTAACCCTTCTTGCAGATTTGAGGATTAACCGAAAAGCAAACAGAAAGTGCTCTTAGGCAGTTTGGCCGCTGTTTGCTTCAGTCCGTTTCTCACTCCGCCTGGACAAACCCTCGGAGAAGGGGCCGCCTGGGCCCCACGTTCTGGTGGTTGTGAAAAAGCGAATACGGAGGAAGAGGTCGCTCCCTGACACCCCCACTCTCCTCGGAGTGAGCGGTGCCACCTCTGCGGGGTGCACACCCCAAGCCCGGCCTCACCCCATTCCCGCAGTCCTGCCTCCCACCCCTCTGGAGACCCTGCTCACCGCCTCCCCTTCTTCTCTTCCAGCCCACCCAAGCCGACTGTGCTCATCTCCGGCGTCATCGCCCGGGTAAGGACCGTCCCCCCGGGCTCCACAGTGGATGCAGGGCCTCGTCCTGGCCTCTGTAGTAGAAAGCGCCCGGCCTGCACGCCTGTCCCCTCCGCGGGCTCAGCCGGCCTGGCAGACGACAGCCCTGGGGCCAGGTGTCTAAGTGACCTGAGCTGAGGTTCCCACGTTTTTAAATGGTTGAGTGACAATGCATGAAGGTAGCGCCCATGGACGTCGCCGGGTAGCACACAGTGCTCGCCAGTGTCTTACCTGTGGCCGCTTTCCACTGCCCAACCCTGGGCCAAACTGGGGTTTCGTGGCTGCCATCATCTTCCAAGACTGTCGTGGAAGAGCCCCGTCCTGTCCTAGTCTCACCCCTCCCACTGGCCACGCTGTCCAAGTCCACACACGACTCCTGAGATGAGGGCCCCGCCGGGCTCAGCTCCCGAGAGCTGGGTCAGATGGTGCTGTGGGCCGCGTGTGTGGATGCTCGGCACAGCCGCCCCAACGCTGGGCACCCACTGTGGGTACAGCAGACCTGGGGGCCCTCTCAGCACAGCCAGCCCCTGGCCGAGACCAGGCAGGGTGCGGTGCCTTTCCACCCTTCCAAAGACCGGAAAAGCAGCCTAGGAAGGCAGAGCCGGGAGGCCACCCACCCTGTGCTCATGGGCTCCTGCCACCTTTAGCTCCCCGCTCTGCTGGCCCCGGGACCCCCAGGAACCGAGGACCAGCTTCTCGCCCACCCGCCATCACCCATTCGCAGCCCCATCCGCCCTGAGGGAAGCGGGGCCGCTGGGCGTGGGGCTTCCAAGGGCACCAACGACCCCCTCATGGCTTAACAGCTTTGCCTCCTCCGTGTGTCTCGCAGGGCGACAAAGACTTCCCCCCGGCTGCCGCGCAGGTGGCTCACCAGAAGCCCCATGCCTCCATGGACAGGCACCCCTCCCCGCGGCCCCAGCACATCCAGCAGCCCCGCAAGTGACCCGGCATCGCGGACCCAGGCTGGCCAGCGGCAGTGCCGGGTACCTGCATTCACTGTGACACCCCAGCGGTGCTGTCTGCGGAAAACGGCTTGCTCAGAGGTCTCAGGAGGCAAAGCTTCCTGCCTCTGCCTTGTATTTGCAATTTCAAACTAGGAATGGCTCAAACCCCCAACTTCATTTGTGGGAGCACCACAGAAGGGTCACTGTACCTCCCAGAAGTGCCATTCTTGAGTTGCCAGGACCTGATTAAAAAGCAGCCTTTCACACTTACGCTTGAATTCTGTCTCAGCAGTCGCCTGTGGTCCCCAACCCTGGGGCCTACCTCGGGGAGCCCAAGAAGCTGAGGAAAATACAATCCTTTCATGCTTTCAGGAGAATAAGAAAGAAGGTGGGTGCGTTCAGGGATTTAGCTCAGTGGCACTGTACCTGCCTTGAAAGTGCAAGGTCCTGAGTTCAATCCCCAGTACAAAAAAAAGAAAATAGAAGAAGAGGGTGGAGATGGCGGGTTTCAGATGTGGCCACCAGGGGCGCCCTCCGCAGGCCCAGGAGACTGAATGTCCCACCCCCGCGTGTCAAGGTGTGGCCCAGGGGGACAAGCGCTGGGATGAGGCGGAGGAAGGAGTTTGCCTTTGAAATCTTGTTCCAGGAGTCAGCAGCTGGTGGTGCACGGGGCCCTTCCCACCTGGACTCACCCTAGCCCTGTGGGGACAGCCAGGCCTGCTGTGTGTCCCTCGTCACCTCTAGAGCTCTTTGAGGCTCTGGAAGTGACCGTCTTCCTGAAGGTGGAGGAGACAGGAATTCTGGGACCGCTGGGTGAGGGAGTTGGATCCTGAAAGGACGACGGAATTAAACGCCACAGGCCCCTTGCCCAGGAGAGCCCTGCTGCCTCCCCGTGTGCAGGGTGCCGGCCACCCTCCCCCGTGTGACTTCTGTGCGTGGCTCCCGCCCTGGCAGTGGCAGTGGCTTCCTGGCTCCTGGCTGCAGCAGGAGCTCCCGGCTGCCCCGCTCCCCTGAAAAGCAAAGGCTCTTCAGTCGTTAGGGTCTCGGAAGCACCGCTCAGGGAGGGTGCACCTGACCACTCTGCTCCCAGCCCTGGCCCTCCCCAGGGAGGAGCACTGCACGCTCCCTAGGCGGTGATCACAGGGTTTCCAGGAACTGACCCAGACGTGGCCAGCAGCGAGACCACACATAGGAAAGGACTAGCACAGGCGAGGCCAGGCCACCTGCAGCCACGGGAACCCAGAAGCATCCTGGTCCCTGGAGTTCTGCAGCCTGGAGCCACCCTGCCCTGCCCCAAGGGGAGGGGCCCTGCTTCCAGAGTGAGGTTTTCAATCACTGACTTCAACAATAGCGGTGATTATAATGAAGCCCCTGCATTTCTTCTGGCGTTTCGTTTCTCTTCCATTCCAGAGGTTTCCGTATCCATTTTAACAGGGCTGCCAGATGGTTTCGGTAGAAACACAAACCGAAGACACGACGGATATTCACAAAAATCACTTCCTAGACCCAAAGTTGAACTGCGGGACACCTGGCACCGCCAGCACAGTCATCCACTGAAACTGTCAGAAAACACCGAAGCTTAATACGGTGGTGGAAACGTATTCCGAGATCTGTGGCCCAGCAGATGGCCGGTGCTGGGTGGCGCTTTGGGGATGGATACAGCGGGGATTCTGAGCAGCCGGCTGGGCCTCGGGAGCAGCGTTTGATGTGCGAGACCTTTGCCGGCAGCAGATCTTCAGCCCGTGGGAGGAGACAAGGGACAATCACACCGTGAAACCTAGAGACCCAGTGGGAGGATCAGTGTGTGGGGAGGACACACCCCCTGCCTGGCCTCTCCCCAGTCTCCACCTCAGCCTCTGCGGCTGGCACCCACGCGTCCTGTCTTCGTGCTCAAGTGGGCACCGCAGTCCAGCCAGGACTGTCTCGGCGACTACATATGTTGGACAGAGACAGACAAGGGCCAGGGTGCCCCGAGGGCTTTCCCATCAGAGAGTCCCCGTCCAGCCCCAGACAGTGGCTCTGAGCAACAGGCATGTGCCTACTCATGGTTCTGGTCAGAAGCATGAAATTGAGGTGACCCTGGCTAAGCCCCTCCTTCTGCAGGCCCTAGGGGCCCTGCCCACCTCTCACTGTGGCTGCGAAAACCCACCTTGGACTCAGCAGCCACCTGGTCGTCTCTCTCCCCCTATGTCTGTGTCCTGAGGACTACAGTCCTTTGATTGCATGCTGCCCTCCTGCAGCTAGGGTCACTTACAGGACAGAGTCCAGGGTTTCCTAGTGCGTGGAGTCAGTTTCCCTGCAAATTCCCCGAGACCATCACAGAGAGGAGTGAGAATTTGGAGCCTGCTTAGAGAACTGACGTCCATCTCCATGATCCCTAGAGCACTGGTCACTGCAGGGGTTTCGCCCCCCTGGGAGCACGTGGCTCTATCTGGAGACAGGTTTGTTTCTTTGTATGTTCATTTGTTTGTTTATTTTGGGACAGAGTCTCACGCTGTAGTTCAGGAACTACAGCCCGGAACCGGTGGTGATCCTCCTGCCTCAGCCTCTAGTGCAGGGATCACAGATGTGTGCTGCATGCCCAGCTCTCTGGAGACTGCCTTGGTCGGCACAGCCTGGAGCAGGGGCTCGTTGGTGGCACTGTGTGGGAAGAGGCCAGGACACTGTGGAATGTCTTCCTGAGCTCAGGACAGAGCCCTCCACGGGGAGGACCCCATGCTGACAGTGACAAATCAGGCTGGGAGCTTGCAGATGACAAAACCACTGGCTAAGAGGCCAAAGCCAGACCCTGAGCTGAGTCCTCGGGGGCAGACCATCCATGCCTCCATGAGCACACATGTTTGGCGTGTGCAGCTCATGTGGCCCAAGCATGTGTGTTCTCAGAGCCTGGAGCAGAGAAGAGGAACATGATCGGTGCATATCTGCTTCCGGGTGCAACGGGAACTTTTCCCTGAGCAAATCTTTCTAGGAGCATGCGCAGTGGCTCCCAGCAGAGGGGCCGATTTCCCCAGCACAGACACAGGGCACTGAGGTCAGAGCCCCTCGCTGTCTCCTCTGCCAGGGCAGCTGCACTGAGCACCACCTCAGCGTCCAGCTATTTTTAACTCCCCAGAATGACCTGGACCCTCTTGCCCAGTGACGGCAGCCTGTTTTCCACAGTGGACCAAGCACGAGGTGAGTGCGGAACGGGCAGCTGAGAGGGGCATGGAGGCCGAGCAGCCCTGCAGGGCCGAGGCTGTGGCCACAGCTTCCACCTCTGCTCCCGGCAGACTCTGTCCTCACCTGGCAGGACAGTGGCCAGTGGTCACCTCCTGAGGCACGCCTCCAAGGACAAGGTGAACTGGGCTGAGAATAGAGGCCTTAAATGTAGAAAGGAGAGCCAAGCGTGGTGGCTCACATTTGTAATCCCTGAACCCCAGAGGCCGAGGCAGGAGGATCGCTGCAAGTTTGTGACCAGCTCGGTTACATAGTGAGTTTGAGGCCAGCCTGGAATACATAGCAAGACCCTATCTCAAGATCAAGAAAAGTAGAAAGGATCCCTAAGCAACAATAGCCAAAGACAAATAACAAGGCCTGAGAACTGCTGGCAATGAGGAGGCCACACTGACTGGCTCGCCCGGCCTGTCTCTGTCCTAGAAGGGCCCTGAGGTCCCGCCGCTTCCCACCCAAGCCTCTGGTGAAGTCCCCGGAGGTGGTGCTTGGCTCTCACCGCTGACGTCTTCTGAGCGCCTCAGCACTCCGTTTCCAAATCTGTAGGTCAAGTTGTTTCCCACCTGCCTAGATGTGCTCAGCGTAACTAATTTCCAGAGACCTCGTTCCACAAAACAAAGACTGTTACAACCTTACAGGCACAAAACAGTTCCACTAGCCAAGAAGGAAGGTTGTCATTCGCTTTCAAAACAAGTATTTCCTTCAAGGCCAGTTAGATAACCTGCTCCTGATGAGATAGTGATAAATGGGCATTCGTTTAATTTCTTTAAACCTTATAAATGGGGCTGAGCTACACTGCCTTCCATTAATCACCCACATGGAAGTAGAGTTCCCTGGGGGAGGAGGAGGAGGAGATTCTGGCCTAAACTCCATCACCTTCGTTAAGGGTCTTGCACTCTGGTGAGGCTCTGGGAGGAGATTGGGCCCTGGGGCGCTGTGCTCCTCCGGGGTTGAGCCCTGTGAGTTCCTAGCTGTGTGCCGCTAGGAGGCGGGGCCTGTGGGAAGGGGCGGTCCCTGGGGTGTGGCCTGGACGGTGCATCTCCCTCGGGGCTTCTCCTTCTCCCTCTGCTTCCTGACCGCCATGCTGTAATCAACTTTCTCCGCCAGGCCCCTCCTTTATGCCCTCCTGCCCTGTCTGGCTTCCAGGCTTTGCTTAGAGAAGCATGAACTCTTAAGCATTTAAATCACATTTTCTTGATCACCACAGAAAAGCCCAAGGCACCAACTTTAACGCAGAACACCCTGGCTTGCACCTTGGTAGCCCCACTCCTGCACCAAGGCCAGGGTTGGGTCGACCTAACTCAGTTTCCCCACCTGTGAAACAGGAAGGACAGGCCCGTGTCAGTGCCACAGTGTCCCTGGCCCACAGTGTGCGCGCTAGGAATTTGCAGCCGTGAACTCTGATGACAAGAGCAGGACGATGGTCACTCCTGGGTCTGCTGAGGAGTCCTGCTGGGTCCTGGCTCGCGGGGACCACTTGGGAACAAGCCCTCTGGAATGGAGCAGGGACCCAGGCTGCTCTGGGAACTGGGAGGTCACAGCAGCAGAGGTCGCTATCCAGGAGGAGCAGGCCGCAGCCACAACCTGTGCCGTGACTCCCGCTTCCTCTCACTGAGCTGCCAAGCACATTCTGGGCAGCACAGCAGGTGTCCACAGCCACAGCTGCAGAGTAGGCAGGAAGGAAGAGGGTGAGGCCGTGGGGGGACAGGGCTGGCAGTGCCCCTGCTGCAGCTCCTCCCGGCCCTCAGGGATGCCTGTGTCCAGCATTCTGTTTCCCATGTGGGTTCTCATGGCGTGACCAGGGATGTGGCCACTTCCTGTGGCCCTGGAGCTGGTCTGTCACACCACATGGGCCTGGCCTTGTAAGGGGCACAGGGTGGTCACACCAGCTCTTAGGGTACAGACGGCCATGTCTTCTGGCCTGAGCGTGGAGTGGTCACACTGGGAAGACCAACTGCAGCAGGGCGGGTGGATTCAAGCATCTCCTTGGAGGCTGCACTCAGTCACGTGAGCAAGTGGCCCTGCCCAGTGAAGCCCTGTCACAGCTGTGTCCATCACTC